TCGCGGGAGACGCTCATTCATCTCCTCGTTGACCTCCAACGCGAAAAAAATATTTTCCGCATCCTCTATCATCCCATCACGTAGCTGATCATCGGCATTCGCGATATCCGTTCGCGAAAGGAGAATTTGTTTTCGAGACCACGAGCGCCGCCGGAAGGCTTACAATTCCGCGCGACCGCCTTTATATTTCATTAAGGTGCAGTTTGTGTTGTATTTGCAGGATCTTCAGCCACCCGTCGCCGCTAGAACAAAGGAAGTCCTTAATATTTCATGGAGCGGCTTTTCTTTGATCGCGTTTGAGAATTTTGGGAGCACGAAGTGAGTGTTTTTTTTTTTAATTCAACAAGGGGTCGCGTTCTCACTAGGGTCCATGTATTGTTCTATCGTTTGCTGAGAGATATAAATATAGTTTGAGAAGTAGCGACGTTCGTCGGTAAATGCAATTGGATAGCTGCATAAAGAATGGGTATTCGAGGCGACTCAATACCACATGGTGTCGTCTTTTGTAGTGGCGAGGAATGCATCTCTAACTCTTTCTTGTAGCTATCCTTTGTAGAAGAACCGAACGATAAAAATGTGTAGGTTAAATCGAAGTCCTTAATGCCAAAAAAGAGTCTTACTGTAACACTTCAAGAACTTGATGTATACGCGATCTTGTATCCGGCGACGTGATAAATTGACATTTATATCATGATTATTAAAATGTGACCACTTATTGTAAATATTAAGGTGGATTAAAATGCATTTTCTCTAATTACGCGACGAGTGAACACTGTCACTACGTTAGTTCCCCGACGAACAGATAAAAATACTGTCGTTATTACTGTCACCTAATATTGAAAATATTTTCGTGGAGCTAAATATAAATCAAAATTCTTTATCCCACACCCCTGTGCCTGCCTATTTCCTGCAAATACCGCCGTAAGCCAAAGAGTGTTATATTCCCTGAGGCACTGTCTCTGCCAGTAAAGCTGTTCTTCTGAAGGAAAAGTAGAAGTACACTTTTGGTATATTCGGTGATTCTATAATAGGTAAGGAAAACATGGAATGCATATTCAAGGTGCTCGACAAGTATCTTTACAAGTTTAGGTTAGCTTAGAAAATTTCATGTACATGATAAATCTACACTTCAGGCTACCTCACATAAATCGCGCTGGAGATGTTATTTCTCCTTCTAGCATTATAATCATTTCATGTGCCTTTGATTTGGTGTGTTTAAAATGTTACGCCTAGAGTTTTCTGCCACCTACGGTTCAGCACCTCCCCATTACTTTGCGCTTTAGCAGCTTTGATTCATGGACTTAAAAATATGATGGTTCATAAAATCGCAGACAGTTCCACATAGGGCGTTGGTTATTTGTGAGTCGGTTGGACATTTTACGCACAACGGAAGGTGAATACCTAATATAATTTCTTAAATCATGATGACAAAAAGCTATAAGTTGGTATTGTTTCCTTCGATATTAATGTAACCTCTTCAATACAGTATTTTATGTCCACTTATATTTCTTAAAGCCATTTCGTATATGCAAATGTACGACCCCTGTTTTTAATCGTCACAGATTTTAAGGTTTATGTTTTTTTTTTGACGAGGTTATACGAGTTTCTTATAAACTTATCTCATATGCACTCTCTAGACTAAGGTACACTTCATCGTAGTTGCGTCGAAATGAGTTGCTAAGGAAGTCTGCTTGCTATACTGCCTTTTATTTGGCACTTGACAGTGCGGTTACGGGAACCAAAGCTGCCTCCTGATTTTTCTATCTTGAATGTCTACCTTTGAAGTAGGTGGGCGTGTGCACTGTTGAGAGAGGTGTGTTTACGCCCACTTTTAGAGCTTTGTGCTTTTGTTGATTTACATTGTTTATTATGGACAGTAAAGCACACAAGGCGTCTCACGTACTTTACCATTTGCGTGCCTCTTTGACCTGGTGCCATTTACTTCCCAGCTTCCCACAGGACTGAGTACGAGTTTAGAATTTTTAGAGAACTTTCTCATAGGGTATATAGAAGAATATAAATCAATATTAGTTCTTTCTTCAGCTGTGACGCTGGTCGTTTTGGCTGGTGAGGCAAGCTTCTCTGCGGAGAATGGCATCATTTATCAGCCCTCAGAGATGCGCTGAATCGTCAAGCAGTCCGCTAGATAACATGAAATCAAATCCAAGGCAAAAGGTGCTTGCGAATTTTCTGACCTACCACAGACGAAAAAGAATATAGCTGAGCAGGATTGCATTACGAAGAAAAAAGCTGTAACAAAAACAACATGAATAAGGCTGAAGATGAAAAAGGTACTTCAGTTGAATGTCTAAACGATTCATACATCCTGCCTTTCGCTGGCGGTCTAGACTCCAGGGAACCCGCAGGATGCGCTGAACTTGGTATTCCAACAGCCATTCACCGTGACTAGGCGTTGTCAGCGTCTGTCAAATAGTTTCTAAAGCAAGAAATATCCCAAAATACACGCGGCAGTGACCTTTTCTTGCTTCGTGCAATGCAACAATCGGCCTATGCATACACAATTCAATATTTAACGTGCTATATAATAATCACAACCAAAAGTTTCTGTGAAATGCAGACTCCGATCGTGATTCAACTAGTGTGCTTAAAGGTTGCTTTTTTTGCATTATGTTTGCACGTTTTAAAAGAAATATAAAAAAGTGCGAAATGTCTTTATGTTGTATTTAGCGTTGAGGAAAGGTATATAGTAATAGTATAATATGGGTTCATTAAATGTTATGAATTGGTTTCTGACCCTGCACGCCAGTATATCTTACGATCACATATTTAGGTTGCGTTCCTACTCTGAACTTCTTTCATGCGTTCAGGAAGAGCCAACCATAAAAGTTTTAGTAATCGATTGGGGAATTATGCCGCTAAGCTTGTACCCGGTTTATTAGACTACAGCTCTCTATAGGTTGGTGGGGTTGACAATCGTTTTACATCTAAATATTACATTGAAGAGGCAGGCCAATCAATGGGGCTCTCCTGTATTCTAATTGTTAAATCGAGGTTAAAAAACATGCCGCCCCTAGTGATTCTCTTTTGTTTATTAAAAAAAAAAGAACTCCATTCAAAGGAACCAATATTTATTTATTTATTTATTTTATTTATTTACAATACTGTGAACCTTACGGTCAACACAGGAGAGAAAAATAAAATGTACAAGCCAAGCAAAATGCATTCACACTCAAGTGAGCACTTATGCACATGCAGTGGTGCGTCACACCCTGCACATCTGAAGATGTATTCCGCACACATACATTATTCAGTTAAAAATTCGCGCAATGATAATTCAAATGACTTGAGATTAGAGCAGCTGACGACTTCGTTTGGCAGAGCGTTCCACTCTACTATTGTCCTACAAAAGAAAGAATACTTAAATACATCATTTTTGTATTGATACGGAGCAATCGCCCTGACGTTGCTAGTCCTTTGGGAACGAGACGTTGAAGGCCGCAAGTAAAGCTGCGGATCTAGCTTTGTCATTCCAGTCGTTATGGAATGACAATAATTCCATATTTTATTTCAAGAGTCACGTATTTGCTGATGGCTGTAGATTCCCTAGTATTAGTATTCACTCGCATTCAATGGCATCACTAGGCTGGATCAAAACCCCGCCTCCTTAACTCTTAAGTATAGAGGGTGAGCACGTTGGTGGGATTATATATTACTGAACAAAAAGCAACAACGAAGAGCGCAGGACGCGACGGCCCATCTTTTATATTAAACATCTGTCGTCGTGTACATCCCTGTGTTTATTCTATCAGTAACGTGTGTATAACTGTTTTTCTCGAGAATGCAACGAATAGGTGAACCAGTATATATACCATGTGATTCTCACTCTCCTTAAAAAAAAAACAATAAAAAAGTTTTTTTGATGGTTTTTAAAAAGGTCATGCTATTCAGTCTTTTACAAGTTTGAATTAAAACACATTTCTATAAAAGTCACCAAACTTAAAAAAATTTCTACCTACTGATAGTTCGCTCCGGTCATAGTTCTAAATGGTTCTACAACAATCTGAAAATAGGGCAAAATTACTCTGGGAAGCATGTTTGCGATTTAAAAAGAAATCGCCCTAAAAACTAAATATATTTCATCTTTGTAAGTACGGCCCGTAGTATACCCTGTTTAGTCAAAAAAAAGATATATATATATATATTGATTTGAGTAAACTCAATATATCATAAGCAAGTACCAGTAAAAAATAGGTTTAGCATATACCCAAGTGACATTTGATGTATATTTGATAAAAGTATTCTCTTCTCATTTCTTTTTAATGACTCAATGCAAGAATTAAGCTAATATATGTATTTTTGTGAAAATTTATCGAAAACCCCGACAACTTCGGTCAAATTGAAATAAAACCAACCATAGGGAAGAAACGTTATAACATTTTGGAAGCATCAAGAGGGACACAAACACCGAAAATCGTAAAAGTTTATGAACTAGCAGCAAGGAACGCAACGATACTTTGCAGCGCTAGCACGAAGATAGGGGTAGAGCGTGGCCATACAGTTTTTCGCGTATATGCGAGGCGATTCAGACATGACGCAAAAATGACGAATATAGCACAACACAAACTGATAAGTGAGGGATCCCGTTAATGCTTTCAATTATTTTCCTCTCAATCTTTTCACCGATGGAAACAAAACAACGCGAAATCATGCTCGCTCACCCAACCTGTCGCAACTTGCTACATCAACACTATCTCCACTCATTCATTTGAAGCGTTTCGATCACAGTCGTCCCCAGACACCTCTCTACTCGCAACCCCCCCCCCCCCCCCACACACACACACACTTTTCTTCTAACCCTCTCACCTTCTTTATCAAGGCCTCAGCGTCTACCAATCCGGTCAGTGCTTCCCAGCCTTGCCAGAGCTCCAGTAGCCGTATAGCACTTCGCGTTCTTTTTGCATTCTCTTTAATTCCCGAGCGCAACAACCCATTAAGGACCCTAACCTCGATCTCCTGCCTCTTTCTCCCCGCGTCCCCAGTGCCTCCGGAGATGCCGGTGATCGTCGACGAGTCCGGCCGAAGTCTCCACGGCGCCGTGGGTCCCTTCGACGAACGGAGCCGCCTCACCCTACTCTGCAGGGTCAAGGGAGGTAAGGGAACTGGAGCGTACGTTCTACACGCACCCGGCGCAAACGCACCGTACCCTACTAATGGCTTGCCTGTTAGCACTAATGGCTTTAGCCACCACAGCCGCCAAGAACCCCTCGCAGTTCCTTGAGGAACACGGTAGAGCTGCTAGTTCTCGCCTTTCGCGGGAAGAGAGCTCAAACTGCATTTCCCCTCCGGGGGTTTAAGAAGTAGGGAACGGGCGGGATGGGGCTGTTCCTCAGCCGCGACAAATGTATGCGGCGTTTTCAGTCCGTGGTTGTACAAACACGTGGTTTCGAATTAGCGTGGCGTGGCGGCCAGTGTCGTTCCGAGCAGCGCGTCTCGGAGAGCGACCAACGGGGACATTGGTTTGCGGAATGCGTGCGTTCCGTCCGCTCCCGTGTTTGCCGAGCGCGCGAGAGGCGCGTTGTGTCGAGCGGGAGCTTTTAGGCGGAAACGTGGAACGGCGCGCCTTAATGCGGTGTCTGAAGGAAACCGGAGACTTGGGATGCGGAATGGAAGCAGGGCGCCGGTTGTCTCCTCGAATGAATTCTGAAAGAGACGAGGTCGTGATAAATGAATTCCTGGATAGATGGGGGGACGACCTCTGCGCGATGGGCATGAGGCCGTTGAACGTGGCTAGGTTCATAAGTTGGTGGGCTACTCGCGAGTCTGATGGAATGCAGCGTGCAGCATGCGGTTGGAGTGGAGAGTGTCATCTACAAGCCGGGAACTTTTACACGGGCAGAAATATGGCTAGTTCCACCCCTTACCCCGAAACCCCACGCAGCATAAAAATTAGAAAAAAAAACACGGGCGTGGTGATTTTTGAGAATCTTTTCGTTGGCTCGCAGTAAACTAACTTGTCATATCCGCCCATAAGAATGACAAAAGTTAACCACGAACTAGAAAGCTTGAACTTGACAAACCACATCCTGCCATTTTTACGCTGTGAGACTATACTGGAATCCAGGCGCAACTGCAACCTTTCGTACCAGCAAGTTTGTTTTTAGCACTTGACAGCTTCGGCGTGCAAGTCAAATAAACCTTAACAATATATATATATATATATATATATATATATATATATATATATATATATATACATATATATAGGGTGTTTTTATTTATTCTTTCGGATTTGTTTAAAAAAGGGCGTGAAAGCTAGGCTTACGTGGTTTGTGCAGGTGAGTTATACAGCCAAGAATACATAGTATTAATGAGAATAGACATATGGTTTCAACTAGAAACTCGCTCAGCGTCATCGAAAACCACTGAATCAGTCATTTTCAGACAGACTTTCGGCGCGTGAGAAGCGTAGTATTGTACTAAAGTTACCACTCGTGGAGCAGGTACAAGGCTGGGGCTAGATAAGAGACGGAAAAATCGCGCGGGTGACTTATCACAACCGCTAGCTTTGTACCTGCTCCACGAGTGGTAACTTTAGTGCACTAACACGCTTCTCACGCGCTCAAACTCTTTCTGAAAATGATTGATTTAGTGGCTTTCGATGACGCTGAGCAAGTTTCTAATTGGAACCATATGTTTATTTTCAATAATTAAAAGTTAATTAACGAAATTCAGTTAATTAATTTATTTATTTATTTATTCAAAGTACCTCAAAGGCCTGTCGGCATTACATGAGGGGGGTTATATAATCTGGTTAACACAAAGAAGGAATGGCAGGGAGCACGCCGACTCTACACAAACATCAATACACATTTGCGCGCAACAGAATAAACTAAATATTTGCACAGCTGGGTAACATAAAGCACATAATGAAATAAAAAATAATAATAATACACACATCCGCTAACATTTCGAGTAAAAATATAGATACAGTGACCAGTTTGCAAGAAAATAACATCGTTACACATTTTTAATTGGCTAACATATATGTGGTTAATTCTGAACGAAAAATTGCTGGGTCGGAAACTGAAACAACGGCCTCGGGAAGATCATTCCAGAGCTTGATGGCATGTGGCAGGGAAGAATTATTGAATGACAATGATGTCCTAAAGATACGCTTAAAACTCTTAGTGTTAAAATTACGTGATTCCTTGTTCAGGTGTTCCAGATGCAAGAACCAAGTCCCAGCGGGGCTGTGGCATAATCGGTGAATTAAGCATAGGAGAGAAATGGTACGTCGAGTTTCCAGTAGACAGATAGAATAATTTTGCTTTATTAGTGACACGCTGTCGAAACGCGAATATGATGAAGAAATGAGGCGGGCTGCACGGTTTTGAATGGATTCGATTTGATTAATAAGGTAGGTTTGGTAAGGGGCCCAGATAGCGGAGGCGTACTCTAATTTCGGGCGAACATAGGTTTCATAGGATAATTTGCGGAGGTGAGAGGGCGCAGATTTAAGATTGCGTTTCAAGTAACCGAGGGTACGGGGTGCTTTAGCGGTTATCGTGTTAATGTGAGAAACCCAAGAAAGATTAGAAGTTAGTTCGACACCGAGGTACTGATAAGCGGAAGCAGCGATGATGGGCGAATTGTTGAGTAAATATGTGAAGTCTGAATTTGTGCGTTTACGGGTAAAAGAAACAAGTTTACAGTTTGCTGTGTTAAGGGTCATTTGCCATTTGTGGCACCAGGTAACTACCCGATCAATATCAGTTTGGAGATGTAAGTGGTCGTCAGGGTTGTTAATCTTTCTGTACAGTACACAATCGTCGGCAAAAAGACGTACACAGGATGTTAGCGACTGCGGGAGATCATTAATGTATATTAGAAATAAAAGAGGGCCAAGGACAGTACCTTGCGGCACCCCGGAGGTTACATCGGAAAGCTCCGAGTAAAAATCACCTACTGTGGTGAACTGCTGTCTTAAGGAGAGGAAGTTTCGGATCCAGGAAAGAGTTAAGTCGTCAATGCGAAGTGAGGAGAGTTTAGATATTAGACGGCAGTGCGGCACGCGGTCGAACGCTTTAGAGAAGTCTAAGAAAGTGTCGAGTGATTGTTACGATTATTCCCCTATAATATGTCCCCCTGGCCGTATAACTCACCTCCACAAGCGGCATAAGTGTAACTTTCATGGCTTTTTTTAAACAAATCTGTTAAGCTCAAAAAAAAAAAAAAACACCCCGTATATACATGTGTGTGTGTTTGTGTGTGAGAGAGAGAGACAGAGTAGTTTGAATACAACGGAGCGGGAAACCGTAATAAGTCAAAGACTTATTACGGTTTCCCGGTTCATTGTACTTTCGGAGTTGCTATGCTGGGAAGTTTATTTTATATGTTACGACAATTTCGTCGAGAAGTTCCGCTACGTCAGGAGATGGCATGCCATCTTCTGACAAAGCCGAGTGTGTGTTAAATCATACACAGTGATGACGAAGTGTGTGTTTAAATCATACGCAGTGCTTACCACTCAAAAATAATAGGTGCGACTTCAAAAAACTTTTTTTTAGCGACAGAAATACCGTTAAACACTAAGTATCTGCGCAATTACGACCCTAGCGATTCGGACCAGATGCCAAAGTTTATTTGGGTGAAGACAAAGCAGTCGGTCATACGTTGTCTATATTTTGCGGTAAGAAATATTGTAAATATATTTTCGGGAGCACGATGTTCTTCTGCTCGTCTTATTCTGCCTTTGTCCCAAGTTGTATGTTGAGAGAAATTTCAGTAACTACAAAGGCTTTAATGCAGAGACGTTTCAGAAAAAGCCTTTTTTTTTTCTCAGTGTGTACGACCTACAGTTCCCAAACGTTTTCTCATCGAGGCCTCAGAGGAAAAAATTAGAAAAAGGAATGACAAGGAGAAAAAAAAAATAACACCAATGTGATGTTGGGTAGGAACACCTATTCCCGGTGAAGCACCGAGTAAAGAAGCACCAGTGAAAGTACGAAACCCGTAAACACAAAAAAACATATTTTTTCTTCTTCTTAAAACTATATAGAAAAGCAAATAGGCGTTTCTTATTTATTCGCCACTCTTCCCCTAGGAACCGTATCACATACAAACAACAAATACATCACCACCGTGACAACAACGACAGAGTAACAGGAAGGGGATTGTAATCTGAGAAATCAGGGGTCTGTTCGGATAGGCGGTGGCGCGCGAAGTTCGCAGAAGTCGCGCAAGTGGGCGTTGTCGTCTCAGGCAATGTTCCCAATCTTACCCGAGTAACCTGTCTCCTACGTCAGCGAACAATTCCGCGTGACATCGCGAGTAAACGATCCGCGACTCGATTTTGGAACGGCCGGGATAATCACCTGGAGACTACGCGGATTGGCTTCGTCTTAGGCTACTGCAAAAAGAAAACATAGCGGCGATGACGGAAAATAGCAGACGATCTATTTTGATCATGGAGAAACCACTTGAAGAGACCCTAATGTTTACCGCTTCGTAGTTTGTCGTTGACATTGACGATACTGTCTCTTCTGAGGTATCTCTACCAGCTCGATTCTTTAGCTCACGTTCCTTTTGGGTTGTATATTGAGATAAAAATTGTTTACTTGTCTTAGTCGTACATCAAAATGTTTGCTTTTAATATTCAGCGCCATCGCTGAAAGTCCCTTCCAGGCGCCCGAAACGAATATGTTCCACGCATCATAATTTTCACCGGTTACATTTTACGGAAATTGCTTCCACACGGCGTCGCGGTAGAGTGCATGGCGCTCGCTCAACAGTGATATGTAAGTTACGTTCGCTTTGACGCGAATATGATCCGAAAATCACAAAGAGAACTTCGAAACCGCTATAGGCGATTTCTTGGGGAGGGAGATGTGGTGGGGTTGTTGACTGATCATATCAAGTTTTAATCATATCAAGTTTTGATCATATCAAGGTTTGAAACGCCACGGTACGAAACCTATACTCCGGAGTCGTATCAAGTAAATATTGGAAAACCAGCCTCAAGCACGCCCAAACCCTCCCGCACAGATTGAAAAAAAAAGGCACAACGGGGGAAAAAAACTACAAGGGGTGGGGGCACAGGGGACAGGAGGGCCCTCCTCGCCTAAAGAGAAAATTAATTAAGAGGCGCGAC